ATTAAATATTTTAAAATTATCTGTTATGATATTAGATGCTATAATGATTTGGAATATATTATAAAGTTTTGAACTGTTTGAAATATACACATATATACCTGAGTGCATAATTTTGTTGCATCAATTCGTATTGAACTCGAAAATCGTGGTGCAAAACGATTGCGAATTTCAAGACGTGTGGCCGAATGAGAGCGTCGCCGATTGTTCATCATATCAACAATACAAGATCCGGTCATTCAACCAGCATTGAACATTACCAATCTTTGACAGTACCCGAAAATGGTGAAGATAAAAGAGGAAAACCTTTTCTGCAAGACCGAATCTATCAACGTTACCGTTCAAACTAAACCCACCTCTTGCGGTAGTTAATCAACCGTTCAGCGTAACTGGTACCCCTTTTCTCAACCTCTTGTTTACAGATATTTTACTATTTTAAATGATACGAAAGATCAGTAAGGGAAGGACAATATTGCGTACCTCGTCTCCCTCTCCTAATCTATCTTTTTGATCAACCTAATTTATCAATTACTCAACTCTCCCTCTCTCTTTCTCTCTTTCCCTTTACTCCACCCTCTTTCTTTCTCATCACTATTCTAAATTTCTTTTCAATACAAATGATTAGTTCATAATTATCTAATTTTTTCCGGTCTTTTCTCGAACTATATAATGCATCATCACATATTCGCAGAACTCCTTTCATTCAATGAAGAATAAACTAGTAACAAATCATCGCTTTTCAAAGACATCGTTGATCATTTCTGTTCTTTTATTAATCTCTAAAATGAACAGCATTAACATTATTAGTGCAACAATATCGCAGACATATATATTATTGTTGTTTATAGCTCGTAAAAATGGTTTACAGATCATAAAATCACCAATGAACCTGAAATGGGTAAGGAAGGAGTCGATGAAAGTGAAATGCATAAAATAAAGAAGCAGAAAATTCACTTTTTTAAAACAACAATTGAAATATTTATAAACAAACAAATCTTAAACAAAATGTGGTGATTTTATAATTCAACGTGCGTTCAGTTGAAATTTGAAACTAACGAAAAATTTGAAGTGTAAAAATACCAAAAGATCCAGTTTTACATCCCCTCCCCTTTGCTCAAACTGTTTTATAAGAGAGGTCAATACTACCAAATTCCTTTTTAACTTATTTTTGATTGTTGAATTTCATTGCCTTAAGTTAAAGCAGCATACCAACACAACAACATGAAAAAGGTGAACAAAACAAGGCTTTACGAGAAGCTTGAGAAGCGTTTTCCTTTAAAAAGCATTTAAACATTTCTCCAAAACTATAAATGCAGCAGAGAATATTAAAACGCTGTTAATTAGTAACATATCCTGTAAATGAAAAAAAGTTAATTTTAAGAATGTTATATAAAAGGGCAATTTCGCTAAATACAACTTCCGTTCGAAATCAGATCGCACAAAAACCAAATATGAAAAAGCGCTTGATTAACAAATCATTACCTACCATTAATTATTAATAGAACTGAATCGATTAAAATCAATTCACAGTTGCTAACATTCGGCTCTTATATCAAGGACAGCATAGAATTAGCGGTTTTTTGCGCGGAAAAAATGGTATTACCAATTTCGGTGTTAGCAAGTATAAAAAGTTTCATTTGTCTTAATCAGACAGTAAACTCCTAAGATTTTTTCTTGAAAAAAGATAATTCTACTCCTTCTACCTTCATCGATTCCTTCATTCAAATTCATATGCGTTCGTGACAACAGTAAAAGCATAGAAAAGAACGATCTATATTTTGAGTCTACAGAGTAATGCAGTCACCTCTACATCGAATGATTATTTAATTTGATGAAATTTCTTTGCAAATGCGACTCTTTGAAGAGATTTCACAATCTAAAAAAGCTGTTTCGTCCAAAGTTTGAAGGTACGGTCAAAAGCAACGCTTGCAACCCATTTTCCATCAAGTGATATGTCAACTCCCATCACTTTCGTATCGTGACCCATGAGCTGTCGTAAAGGTCGCCAACCGCAAGTTTCCCAAACCTAAAATTCCGTTGAAATATTTACGACGTATAAAAAACGAAAATATGTGCCTATAAGAAAATAGTTTTTCAAAACACAAAACTCCCAATTAATAATTCCTCCCTATTTCCTTTATTTATTTTCTTTTCAGATTCTTTTCTTCTTATCAATCTCAAATGTAATTTCAGAACGCTCACTTTCAAAGAGTTATCGAAGGATGACGTAATAATATATTGTCCTTTTGATTCTACCCGAAGACCGGACACAAGAGAAGTATGCGCTGCAATTGGTTTGAGTGCACGCCTTATCCTCAAATCCCAAACCATGCAACTATTATCCGCAGAACCGGTGACCATCTGATAACTGAAAAATGGATTTTTAAGAGCCTTGAATTATTTCGTCCCAGCTTATTACTCGTACTATTATCACAAGAAAATCATTTTGACCTATTCTAATCGATAATCAAATACTCTAAGATTTTAATTAAACATCTCGTCCCAACTCACCCATTCGGTAACCACTGTCCGCAGTGGATTTCTTTCTGATGACCCTCTAAAAACATAATACAGCGGCCTGTTCGTAAATCCCACACACGGCCATAACAATCCATACCGCTGCAAAAGCCAAATATCATAATAAAATGCAATGTAATATAGACAAGCCTAACATATGAATATCTAACATATGAATAATAATCTTACGCTGTCATAATAAGCGATCCATCCACTTGAAAATCGGCATGGAAAACAGGCCGGCTATGTCCTTCTTGAAAAAGAACCTCCTGTCCGTACTGCAAATCGAATAATCTCCATGAACAATCAAAGCTGGAAACAGAAGAAAATTATCAACCGTCCAATTAATTTTTTCCTACAAAAGATATTAGCACTAGCAAAGATTTCCTAGCAATTTTTATCATCTGTACCTTAACTGGAAAAAGCTTCCTGTCGCTACAATTACATAATCGTTCTCGCAGCTACTAAGGCTGTGGTTAAAATAGGCGAAAACTCTGTCATGTAAAAATTATAACGAAACTGGCTATTCTGCCATAGTAAGTTCCAATTTTACAGCATGAAAGCATACTTTTATGACTCTATCCAACATATCATTCATCCTTTTGTTCAAAAAAAAAAAAACTCGAAATGAATACCAGCAAGAAGCAAGAAATCGTCCAGATGGATGAAATGCAATCCGGGATACTCGCTGCGAGTGTGGTTCAAGTTCGGATAGTGGCGAATCACTTTCTAAGCTCCATAATTTTACCGTTCCATCATGACTGCAACTAGCCGCATTCAATGCATATGATTCCTGAGAAATATATGCTCCTGGATGAAATCTGGCACATCCTGCTTGACTGGCATGTCCAATAAATCTCCTTTCACGATTACTTTCTGGTATCGACCAAATGCTGCATTCTCCTGACCTAGAAATGAAATCATATCAACAGTAAAATTTTAAAACGATTGATGAGACTCTTGTAATATTTAAGTTCGCATATCAATAATACCTATCTACTAATTAACTATAAACTTTGTTAAACATTACTTGTCAAAACGGTTCATTCCTTCACTTTTTTTACCTCCAGTTCTTATTGCTTCCATGCTTTGCTTTTTATTGATTTCTATATGAAAACTTTTAAGAAACAATTACACACCAAGACCACTTAAAACATACCATCCAGAAGTGATGAGATGTTTTGAGTCAGGTGAAAATTCACAATACGAAACAGGTCGAACATCTGCTACTTGTGAACCATAAACTGCCAGTGCTGCAACCCATCGATGCATTTCTTGCGCACGCACAGCAGCATCATTTGTTGCACGAGTAGATTCTTCATGGGCCTGGAAACTAGAGTTAACTATTGGCTTTAGTATGGTTTTAGATCAAGAATAAAGAAATAAGCTTCATGCGATATACCCTTTTCAACCTTTCTTGAGCTCTTCTCAACGAAAAATCAGCAATCGCGACACGGACATCTCGAAGAGCTACTGGTCCTTTATGATACCACGTAGATGAGTCTCGTTGTTGCACCGTTTCTGTCTCTTCAGGACTGTGTAGTATCCTTGTAACTTCTTCTTCAGACAATGTTGATAGCAAAGCTCTCAATCTTTCCTTTCGATCCAGCTTGTCCTCCCCGAAAAGACCTTAAATATTCCGTTCATTAAAATTAGCCATGATGAGTCATCAGAGATACAATAGGAACTAGTAATAATTATAAGAATCTGATAAAACATATATGCATTTGATAAAAAGTCAACTGAACCATTCTGCGATTTCTGGTGCTCATTTCCTATATTATAAGGCTCGATTAATTTATCAATTTTAATTATTATACTCTCTCTAGCATTCGGTCATTACAGAAATCTGGACTAAAAATCAGAACTAATATTCAGTAATAATTGCATCATTTAACTTAAAAATACAATTTCGCGTTTTTCCAACATGATATTTAAAATCCATAAAAAATCCAACGCTCGAAACCAACTTACAGATCGGCTCGTTAAGTTTCCGTAAAAGAAGTTTAACGTGTCCATCATCCGTAGGTAAAGTTAAAGTACGAGCTCGTCGTCGTCGTTCAAACTCTGCCATTACTTCCCTTTCCATAGGATTATCCACCATCTCCAAATCGAATTGATCATCCCTCTTTTCAGTTTCACGTTTTTCCGTTTCTGCCTAAAATCTCGAATAAAAGAACTTGGAACTTTTTGCACAAACACTTCCACAATAGTAATCATATAATTTTGGAAATCATTTTGGACACTATCTAATATAAGTATTGTTAAAAGATTTCATACTAAATGAGGGAAAAAAACTAGCCCAGTATTTTTCGCTCTGGTATAGAAATGACTTTTTTATTTAATTTACCATTCAATAAAAGTACCTCCTAAACAATCAAGCTGCGGCATAAAGTAATATTAAATTTTCCTTAATGAAAAAAATTTTTTGTTTTCTTCACCAATAATAAATTTTTTGTTCAATATAATTTTACTATTAGCACATACATTTTTTGCTTAATATATAATTCCATACAAATTTCTTCACTCTACAGCTTAACCAATTGATTACTAGTTAGTGCTTCAGTTTTTTTTTATTAACTTTATTCATTCCATCATTACCATTTGATGACAATAAAGTTTCAACTGCCATCTCCGGAGAGAATTTCTGTTTTTTCCCATTGACATTCGCTGTTCTCTTTATTCATTTACTCAACTAAAGGAAAAGCCTCATTGTTTTTACAAAATAAAACACAAACTGTCAGTACCTGCAGCTTATGAACAGTTTCTTCATTGGCAAGACTGCCGAAGTGTACTTTCTGAATTATTGTTGGAACGTTTAATTGTTGCGCTTCGCCCATTCTGTTTTTTCCTGCAATTAATTGAGTAAAATTGATCAATTCACATTTTTTCAAAAAAGCGTGTAACAAAACAAATTTCGAAAAATTATTCAAAGTCAACGTGAAAAAACTGAAATACTTAACTGATTAACATCAACTTGTACAAAGTATTTCATCTCGAAGATTTGCAAATATAAAATTTTGATAAACAAAGCGAAATTTCAAAAAAAAAATTCTTATTTTATCATTAGCTCTGAATGTGTTCACATTAAAACTCGCTGCGAAAGAATGTATTACACGAAATGGACGAAAATTTTAATCTGTGCTTCCATCAACTTTATCGCATTTACATACTCACAATAAGTAAATGCATGTTTGCTGCTATTTGGGAAGTTTGAAATTTTGTTTTTGAGAAATTTTACACATTAAAGAGAAATTGTCGTTCATTATGAATGTCATTTATTAATTGGTTAAAAACTCGTTTTATAATATAACATAGAATAGTGTTATCTTTTGGATATATGTGCTACAAAGAGTAATTAACTGATAATAAAAATGCTTTTACTATTATTAGAGATATATACGAAGTACTTATCACTTAATACCATCTAATCCATCCCAAAGTAATCCATTTTAAGTCTCATTGTCTCTTCATAGTAGTGCTATTCATTTAATTTTTTAAAACTAAATACATTTTTTACAACTACCATATCATTATTGTTAATAAATAAAAGCAAAAAATCAGTGATACAACGTTTTATTTTTAATTTAAAACTAATCTTCTATGTTTTAAAATACTCTACATTTTTTAAAATTCAAAATTCACAATTTGAAATTCTGCTTAACTGAAGAAGATTAATTCTAATAGATTGGACAAAAACATTTCACGAATCGAAAAACGAAACAATCCACAAATATACACGTTTCACAAAGCACACTGAACATCGATTTAAACTATTACCGTACATTATTTCTCGACCAAACCATCCTTATGTATTTCACGGTCAATACGTGTCCGCTCCAACATTACTTGGCAGTTGTGTGTGTGTGTGTGTGTATAGTTGGTTGGAAGAGAAGGGGAGAGAAAAAAGGTAGTGAATTGGCCTTAAATAACGTTTGTCAAAACATACCCTTTTCACCATACCTGTCAATATTATCACGTCTCGTTACAATACTCTTTCCACCATACCTGTCAATATTATCACGTCTCCTCTTTCCACCATATTTCTCCATGTTATCACTAAATTAAATGTCTCCAATACATAATTTCCGTGCTGTTCTTCTGTTTAATCATATATTTAATTACATCTATTTTTTTGTTTAACATGATTATGCTCATTAAAATTAATTAGCATGGAATTTAATAACAAATTGTAGGATTTGTGAAATTGAGCACTATGAAGGCTGCTGAAGATGTTCCGGTGCAGCAGTTGGTAGCCGACTCCAATGCTTTTATAAAACGAGTACCATTGCATGTAGGTGTTGAAGTTGATATCATGGTAACACTAAACTTTCTAAACATTACCATCCATTTTTATGTTTTTGTTGTTAGTAAATAACAAAAACGATTTTTAAGTTTGAGCTGCTTTCCTCTTGTCAAAAATTCAGCTACCATTCTTATCTTTCACAAAGAAAAACTTCAGGATCTAGCTTCGGAGATCTATACAGTGCCTGGAGTAATCAATGAATTGAAATGTGAAAAAATGCGTCATCTTCTTGACAGTCTTCCATATCAAATTCATATTCAAGAACCAACAACCGAATCTCTGCATATCAGTCAGTTTAATTGCATTAAATCAAATTTTAATCTTTTTTCTACCAATGCGACTTAATGGACATTACGCATTTTTCATTATTGAAAGTTGCAATTTTTGCTGCCTCGTAACTCGTCTAACAAATTTTTGCTTTCTGTTCGGATTCCGAACCTTTGATTAGTTTACTGACTTATGAGTCTGAATTGACGAACATGTGAATTGTACTACGAGTGATCACGTTTTGTAACATCTATATCTTATATCAATCCATACTGATTGAAAAAATGTCCAAAAATGTTGGAGCATGCGAAACTGTTTGCGATCCTATGTATTGTTTAATATCGTTTAGTTTTTTATTTATGGCATTAAGCTTAAAAGAAATAGTTGACAGTACTATTTGGAAATTTAGTCAATTAAATTAATATTGTAGTTCCATCAGAATATGTCAAAAGTTTGTTTTAGTGACCGAATTTTCAAAGAAAACCGGTGATTACCCCTCACTATCAGTAGTGGACTTAAAGTTATTAGCATTGGTGCATGATCTTCACTTGAAACAATATGGAAAAGATGGTTTACGCTATGATTTGAAAACTATTGACGACAAGTCATCAACTAGGTATCGACAAACACGGGACACAATAGTAAAGACGGATAATAAAGATGTCCGAATGGAGGAAGTAATTGATTCACAATTTTACTTATGGATTTTATTGAGTAATGTTGCCTTAATAGTTTGGATAATGTGCTTCAGGAGCTCTTCTGTTCCCTCAATCCCATTCATTTCAATAATATTATTGAAGACTATTTATTATATGAAATAAGACTATTATTTCAGTATTACTATTATATATTACAGAATGCCGCTGAAATTGAAGGAAAATCAAAAGAAATGGAAGACATTAATGATATTAGTGATGGTGCTAGTATTAGCAGCAACAGCAGTGATGGTGATATTTGGTTAAATGAGGATAATGTAGATGAAATAATGGGACATGTGGGTGAAACAGCGTTGCCAGAGAAAGAAATGAAGGTACATTTTCAACTAGCGCAAGTGAATTGATGTTTCAAGTTCGGTTTGATTATACATGTATTGGAAGTAAATATTTTATACATAGCAAAGCATCAAAAGAATGTATTTCAGGTAGCGTGTATTACGACAGATTTTGCAATACAGAACATCCTTCTTCGTTTAGGTCTTTGCTTGTTGTCCGTTAATGGCTTCAGAATACAGCGATTGAATAATTATATCCTCAGGTATATTTGTCAGTTATGATTTGTTAGTCAGATTTATAGGGACTTACAGTTTAACACAAAATTGAAAGATCTTTATTTCGATTCGGTCTTTAGATTGAATGATCTGTCTTTAAGATTTTTTCTTTTTTTAATATTTTGTATTAAGACGTTATATTTATTTTATAAACATTTTATAGGCTTTAAAATGCTACAGCTTAGTTTTTATCGGAAATCGAAAAATTAGTGATGTATTTTGCAGTCGAAGAGGAAAATGGTTAAATCATAAAAATTAAAAAAGGGAAAAGAGGAAAAAGAAAAGATAGTTATTATTAATATTTATTTACACTTTTTTTCTAGTTTCCAAACTCTTATAATTTTTTTATTGAACTGGGTCTCTTCAGTGATCAGTGAGTCAAATTCCTTATGTCTTACCCCATGAATAGGCTCTATCTACAAAAAAAGTGGCGGGATTTTTTAGTCTTTACTTCTCTATGAAGAGATTATAATTATAAATATCTTATAGCTGTGCGGGGGATGTTAGCTTTTACTTTCAAAAATTAAATGGAAATGTTTTCCTGAAGGTGTTGGGCGTGCTTTGCAACAACAAATATAATGACGAAACGTTTTTGTCCTCGCTGCGGAAATGACTCACTACATCGAGTTGCTGTTAGTATTGATGAAGATGGGACGATGCGACTTCACATCAATTGGAATCGACTGCAATCTGCACGTGGCTTAAAATATTCTCTTCCAGCTCCGAAAGGTTTGCTTTTAATATTTGAAACAAATTGCTTGTTTTTTAAACAAGTTCAAATGGCTAAAATATTGCTTAAATCCTATTGGTTGCATTTATGATTTTGTTTGTAACAAGATAATTGGCTTATTACTACAAAGGCTAAATTAAAAGCTGATTTAATGAAACTGAAGTTATGGTTTGATCTCATCCAATAATCAAACTTAAACGCAGATTCAAGTTCATATAACTATTGTAACATTTATGTATAGTTGTTCTGCACTTTGGGTTCTACTTTTTTTTTAATTTTTTCACATATCATAAAAGATAATCTCTCTTGTTTAGAATTGGAATTATAAGATTATCATAAAATAGAAGAAATATAAGCTATATCATGAGATTTAAATGACGTATCTTGTGTAGCAGATAGAAACTACAAACGACGTTTAGGTGGAAAGCATCCTGGAGGACCACAACTTTTTGAAGATCAACCTATGCCACAGAACAGAATGGCTCGCTGTTATAAGGATCCTACAGAAACTGGACCATTTGCTATGAATGATGTAACGAGCAGGTGAGTTTCAACCAACTCCTCACTATAATAAATAGTGCTCTTAGCATGGAATTAATAGCAAAAATATGGCAAAAATATTTTAAAAACTAAGGTTTGTTTAGTTATAATTTCTATGTATTAATAATGGAAATTTTTTTCTCAGATTTGCTTAACAGCGATCTTTTTTACCAAATAATGAATTATTTTGATTTTAGGTCAGCAATGTTAGGTATACGATCCTTGCAGAAGGCTGGGTGGAATCCAAATGTGCGAACACATGGGAAAAAACGAGGAAATAAGCGACGATAGATTTTACCTGCTTTATTGCTGTGAAATTTCCATTCATCTAATTTCAGTTTTAAAGTTTCCTGTATATAGAATAGTAAATCTCTGAGATTTGACTATCGAATAAATTGTAAAAAATAGTTTGGAAACTGCCATCACCAGGTTTTTTAGGAACTCACACATTTCATATGTGTTATGCCTTGAGTAGAGGATGTATTGCCAAGAATTAATCGCATATTAACGATTATTAAAATGGGAGGTAATAAGGAGATACGTGAGTGCAAGTAAATCTGTTGTTCTGTTGTTGTTATTTCGTTCTGTTTACAATAAATAAAATGTCAATAACAGTTAGTCAAGTGAACAATTCGGCTACAGGCCTATACTTATCTGCTTGCTTCGTTGACTTTTATCATTTTGAGCAATTTAGAAAGCAAAGATTTCAGTTTTTTTTTTAATGAAAGCAAAAGTTGAGTAAAATTTTTGCTCTTGCATCGATGTTTCTTCTAATGCAGTGGAATTATTCAGAGTGGGTTTTATAATAATTTGATTGTGTCATGCATTGCAGTGAAATATAACTTCCGCGGGGCCTTAGATTTCAGGCATGGAATTTAAACATTCCGGATTATTAAATTCCTTTCTAGCTAAGTGCTCGCTCAAAATTTTTCAATGTACTGAGCTTTTTATAGGTTTTTAATCTTTAAATTGTAAATTTCGAATGCACTGACTCAAAAATATTTGAACTAATTTCAGTTCTAATTTTTCCATTGGTTTTACCATCTTTCGTTTGAGGAAGAAATGGTATAGTTTGAGATGCTAAGTCAGCTCATTGCACATTTTTGAATGCTGTGGTGTATATATTCCAAAATATTGGAAAATTTTTGTACCGGATCAGGAAGTCGCCCTCGAGAAGGTGCAATTTTTCTTAGCAGCTAATGAAGTATTACTAAATTTTAAATAATTCATTTTCTCTAATCATGTGAAATGATTAAAAAATCATAGTATGTCTTTATAAGCTCAGTTTTAGTAATTGAGGCATTTCCTTCCACTGTATTTTAATTCACATTGGTTATTTGATTTTTTCCTGTCACAAGTGCAAAATACTTTTCTAACAAATTTGTCATCATTGTAGTGATATCTGGTACAGATTTGTTCATGTATGTATAACGATATCGTCAGTTCATAGTTGATTGATATCATATCAATAATTGAATTTTTCACTTCAGTTAAGCAGTCTGGTAAATTGTCTGCCATTTAAGGCAGTTAATTTTCGTTTTGATGTCGATGTCAATGTTGACATATTATTGCCACAACTGTCAGCAAGGAGTGGCACTAAGAGATGGAGTGAGCTTTTTTCCTTTAACAGTTTTTACGTACAGCAAATGGATTCTGAAAACGTGTGGTTGTTGGACTGTAATTTAAATCTACTTGTATATGTTTAGTTCCATGTTGCAGTGATCATTTTTTAAAGTATATTTGTAGGTTAAAGTTTGCTTTTACCATACTATGTGATTCTTGTCTAGCTTAAAGTAGAAGGTTTCAAGGATTTTGTTTGTGCGAGATGTGGTGGCGAATTCATTGAGGAACTTTCCACAGACAGCAGGTCATATATGTCACCGTTTGGGATGGTATGTTCGTCTTTTTTTTCTGTAAAAATTTTTTATATCCTACTTTTGTCATGTGGAAATTTTTATTTACTGTAGCAAATAAATAAGGTTAAAAAGATTGATGGAAAAGTATATGTTTTAGATCTTTGGCCAAATGATCTCGGATGGAGAACATGGAAATGCAGATGTAGGTTCTTCTAGTAATACTCAACAGCAGCAGGACCAGAATCAACAACCTTCAATACGATTTATGCATGCACCAGCCGTAGGTAATGGGGATGATGAAAATATTGTACTGCTTTTCCTAAATCAGTTACTTACAAATTTATCGGCACAAGGAGCTCAAATACAGCTGCAAATTACTCGTGACCCAAACGCTCGCGGGAAGTAAGTTGTTGCTGTTATCAAATTTTTGAAGTGTCTGTATCGCCTTGGTTATTAATATCATCATTGCTGTCAGCAATGTCAACTAATCATTAATAAATAATTTGAAAAACGTCAAGGAATGCTTCTTAGCCTGGTTTTGATTACTTCATGATTGTTATTGCGGCTTTTGTCAGCGTCTTTGTTGCGAGTGAGCCGTTTTATGAATCACCATACTTTTGTATTTAGTAGTTATCGTATCAGTTTATTTTTGGATGAGCATTCGGGGTTAAAAGATGATGAGCAGAGAAATTCCAGTATTCTTCACGGTCCAATAGCAGATTATGCGTGGGGAGAAGGTGGATTGGACCAAATTGTCACACAGTTACTGAACCAGTTTGAAGGTGGTTCAACACCTGTCGATCCTAAATTGCTTGCCAATTTACCCATGACAATGGTAGAACCAAAACACATTGACAGCGGTGCGCAATGTACCACATGCATGGAAACTTTTACAAAGGTTAGATTTTGGCAAAGATTTTAGGGTTGAATATCTTGAAATACGTTTTAAATTGTGTCGTAAGCTTTAAAATGCTTTGTGTTTACTCGTGAGGAGCTGAAAAATTAGTGGTTACTTCACCCCTTTGATAATCACAGAAGTTGCACTAAAATTCGGCTGTAGGAGCAAACATTATCAAAAATCAGAATTTATGCAACGGGAGGCATAAATTCTGATTCTTGATAATTATGTATTATATGTATAAGTGAGAAGATTCAAATGCACGTGAGGTGAGAGGAAGACGGTTGTATTAGCACAAGAAATAACTGTTGATGCACACATAGGCATAAACTAACCACTGTTATAGAGCTGGCCATTTATATATAGGGCTTTAATTGGAAAAGGCTAAAAATAATATATCTGTTTATCCAGAGTTTTAAGCTTTTTTATTATATCTTTGGTGATAGTGGAACTTTCAGTAAGCAAGCTTCCGCAATATAATTATAAATTCAGGATGAATTGGTAGCAATCCTAGAATGTCAACACATTTTTCATCGAGATTGCATATTACCTTGGCTTAGGAGGCACAACACTTGTCCAATTTGTCGGCAAACAGTTGATGCAACAAAATGGTCTAGCAACAATCCCTTAGATGAATTGGATTGATGGTAGAACTGAATAAAAATAAACCATTAATACAGTGTTTATATATTGATATTCAACGAAGTGAAATTATTTCTATCAACTGTTTTTATGAATTTTCACTTTTTGTACTGTGAAAAGAATAAAAATAGCTTTTACATCTTTTAAGAAATAATATATTCTTAGAATTAAAAAAGTGGAAACCCGTTTTCTCCCTATCCTCTCAAAGAAATTTATGTGTTATGTATACAATACAAGCCTACCTTTAACATATGAATTTAAATTACGGCCCCAAAGTTCCATTTTAAAGGACTAAGAAAACTATATTAATTGTGATCTCCCTCCATTATTTGCTTCATTAAAATTGTAGAAAAATATATGATAGTGCCAATATATCATTCCGAAAGAAAAACTGTGAAAGTGTATGGACGACTCAAATTTATCCTATATAATCAGCCAATGGTAATGAAAGCTTTACGAATCCACAAGAACAGATTTAAGGCATAGAAGATGAAATAGGACATGGAATAAGAAAATAGAAAAAAGTTAGTGCATTATAATCGACAATCGTAAAAATGAAAGTTGGTCAATATAGAAAGGGCATGAGAAAAAAGGGAACTAATCTATAATTAGTGCATCGAGCACTCAAATCTAACAAATATTTCGAAGAGATCTTGGATCCTAAATAAAATTTTGTCCAAAACCGAATTATCTCAATTAGAGGAATTATGTTTTCAAACATCTAAAACTTCTGCGCGTAGTAAAACCTTACACAGATTATAGGGGATCAGAATAAAGTCCATTCACATAATTCAGCTAAACGTGTAAGGTTATGTTGCTGAGCTACTTTTCCAATCGTTTCCAGGTTGAAACGAAGTTCGTCAGGTGATATAACGTTTTCCTCAACACCGCAACAATCGCAGAAAAGGGACAGATTATATTTTCGAATCTGAAAATAATTCATTAAACAAATGATTTATAGCATCACTTTGCGATAAAACATGTTGCTCATATCAATTTCGTCAGATGAAACACATGGAAACCTACCGCTCCGCAACGTGTACACTTAAAATCTTGTATTGTGTAAGCAATCAGGAGCTGATTCACTCGTTCTATTAGAAGTTGCTCAATGGTAGACGACTGAAATTGTTTTCTACAACTAGGACAGATCCACGCTTCTGATTGGCATACATCCAAATTACTTGACTGGCAGCATACGGAGCAAAATAACTGGGTCAAAATGCAGGAAACGTTCATCGATTGCCATGTACCGTCATCTGATGCATCCAACATACGCAGAAGTTGATAACGCAGCTGAAATTTTCAGCATAAACGATCACATATGTATAGACAATTAGTAACCAATAATATGTGAAATATGAGAATAATGTCATATTTTAATTTGATGTAAAGAAAAGAAATTGTAATAGCACAATACTAAAACCACATCCGATGCAAAAATTAAAAATGAGATAAAGGAGATATTCAGTATATCATTGCACTTCACACAGACATAAGTTAGATATACTTCTCTGTCCAACTGAGGTCTAATTTACTTAACAATCTCGTTTTTAAAATGAATTCTATATCCGACAGTACCTTTACAATTGATTCATAAACAGCACTGTCAAGTCCAATGAAGTGCGATATCCCTTTCACCATCAAAATAATTGAATTTCGCAAATCAGTATTCTGTCGAATATCAGCACTTGCCGACAAATTATTAAGAAAATCAAACATTTGTTCCGTAACCTCGTTCTTTACAAGATTTAAGCGATACTGTTGCTGCTGCTCCACATTCTTCTGAATATAGAAAATTTAAAGAAGCAGTAATCAATTCCTGAATCACCTTAAATTCAAAACTTTAAACTTAGACAATATAAGCCTTTTCAAACTTTTAAAATCCCCTGCTCAACAGAAGTCAAGCGATTTGAATTTTCTTACTGTAAATAAACCTGTCGCTATAAGAATATAAATTTGCTGTAAACAGTAGGAACTTACAGTTGATCTTACATTTCGAGCCACCAATGCAAGATATCCAATTAATGTTTGCTTAAACAAATTTCGATAACTTTCTTCAATAAAGTTGAATGTACCAAGTTTTAGAGTCACTTCGTTGCTTTCTTCTTCTTTACTCCAAAGAATTCCAATATAATCATTCTGTAAGAATAATCAACAAATAATCTTCTAAGTAAGAAGTGGAAATTAAAAAGTTTAAATAGGGAAGAAATCGAAATGAAGTAAAATAAGCCATGGCTTTAATAAATCGTTTCCAAAACACTTGTGAAAGACTAAAATTTTTTCCCTTTAGTGTGCAACAAAGATGCACTGCCTTTTATGATCCTTTTATCCGGGAAAACAAACATTATTTAAAAGATCATAAGACTTTCGTTTTTGAAATATCAAAAAAAGAAAAGCATTCCAAAAAAAAAAATGTAAACAAAAATATAAGAAAAAAATAATCGCACAATTTTATTTATAAGATTAAGTAAAATCCAGAAATTAGGGTATTACCGCATCAACCCACAACAGAACATCCCAAAATTTAATTGCTTTGACATTGAGCAATGCAAAAATTGCGTGCTCTTCGAGTGATAAAAGCAAGCTGTTCACAAACGATTGTGCATGTTCAACAGTTGAACGTTTGGTGCACATAATAAGTCGCGAATTAGAAGCGTAAATAATACGTCCACCCAAACGATTTAGCTGAAATACAGAAATAGTTTTACACAAACAACAATGTTAGTTATGTTAAATGTGCTCCAATTGGGGCATCCCATTGCATACTTAAGAAGCATAATAAGACAAATATGCCGAAAGCCTTAATCAACACACCCTTGTTGGCTTTCTAAAACTAAGTGGTTAAGCAATAAGAGACTAAATTTAAAAAAAATTGAACAAAATATTTTGACGACTAATATCGGAGTATTATGAATCTTCGAAAAACAACATGGCAGTCCTTGTGAAGTAGTACCATTATTAGAGAAAAAATTTTGGGCAGTTTATTAGCAAGTTCAATTTTTCTCCTGAGTAATTCTAACTTATAACATATATCACTAAATAAACTAAAATCATTGACCTAAAAAAAATAAAAGTGTTATCTTTTTGATTTCAGTGAACTGTTTTGGGAAAAAAATGTATCAAAAGTTTTCAGTCTTCAATCACAATCACAGAAGTATCCGAACTCACTTCAGCAACCAACAAGAGAATTAGCTTGGTAATTAGTATATCAACTACGCGAACAATAGCAGGATCATACATCAATGAATGTTGCGTGCGTAACCAGCTGCAAAGAAAAAGATAATTCCACTCAATTTACTTCTTGGAAAAATTTCTAGAAACATTCAGCTGCTTCCGAAAAACTAGTACCACTTTATTTTCTACAATATTAGCAGTTTTATTGAAATTGACGTGGTACTTTAATGTTTATGAAATCGTTAAATATTACAGAAAAAAGATTTCACCAACCGATCAAGACTAACAATCACTTGATCCGCAATTTTGCTACCATATAGGTGAATATCCTTAATGCAGTCGTGTAGCAAGAGCCGAAGAACCTAAATATTAATTTAGCTTAAATTATTAACTAAAAAATGATTCAGAGAAACTAAAAATAACAAAACTGCCTGCTCTTCCAGTGCATCATCTATCAATGCCCGCTCTATGCAAAATATGATTGATCTCTTTTCGAAGAAACTCCAATGTTACCCACTTAACCGGTCATTTATAATCTATCAGCGAATCAAGATTTCTTGCAAACTATTGCAAACCAAGATTTCCGATATTTAGAATATAATGAAACTATTTATTGTCTTGTCTTTTTATGTCAAAAGAGACACACTTTTAATGGACCTGCTACCGCTGCTCCTTCGTCACACTGAGCAATACTTCGAACATAACCAAGGAGCGCATCTGCAGACAAAACAGCTCCACTTAAGAACCCGACCGAATCTGCACCACCTTCTGCATCAGCGATACTTGCTGATTGCACAACTGCTACAACATCAACCGCGCCCAATTCTAACTCAACACATATATCGGTTTCGAAACTTAAAACAAAAAAATATGAAGTTTGAAAAAAAATTAAAAATTTCTGAACAGTAGAATTAAAAAACAGAAATCAAGAGATATGTCCATCAACATCACTTATCCCTCCACTTTAATACTCCCGATATTATGAATTATTTAAGGAAATATCAAAAACCGCTAAATGTACCAAGACTATTCATCCTGAATTACTTACCTAATCCTATCAATAAACATTCGTCATAAAACAATTGTTTTAGAAATATCCAAATTACATAGTATATAATTAATTTTCACTTTCTTTAAGTAAGAAACCATTTACCTGGACTCATTAATCACACAAACTGACTGCTTACTGACAGAAAGCGATGACCAAACAGCATTTAGACGTGAATCATCTAGTTCTTTACCACCAAGATCAGGTCGGCTAAGCGGTGATGCCCATAAAACGTATCCCTGACTGATCAGACTTCGTGCAAACAATATATCTGGACCAAATGTTGAAAAATCTTCTGGTATATTACCAATTGGAACATGCAAATAGCGGCTGACTTCTACATATTGCTGAAACGGTGAATTCCCACCAAATTTAAAGATTTTATAATAGCACAAGTCTGCTGAAAAATTTAAAAAATTTCATAATAACACACGTCTACTGAAAATGTTATGCCTTATCGAAACACAAATGCAATATAACAGTGCATGTTATGCCGTTAAATTAATTTTATTTCCAAAAGCATTCCTTTTGCTTTTGGAAATAAAACTAATTTAACCGCATAACATGCACTGTTATATTGCATTTGTGTTTCGATTTTCATAATATCGATATGCCATCTCAGAATATCCGAATTCAAATTTAGTGAATTCCAGCAAAATTAGCTTGAAAAAAAAATCAGCCTACTATAGTTTTAATATACATTGTGTTAATAATGTTCTACAAATTCAACTTATTTCTTACATGTAAATATAAGAACATATTGAAATAATGCTTGATGATTCTTCTCAGGACAATACGTTGCCAATCCAGAACATTGAAAAGACTGGATGGCTCAGAAGCATGAATTCGTATAAGAGGATAGCTATCAAGCGCTGGTAATCGCTTGATCAATGTTGACAATTGTTGTCGTGATTGAACAACAATCATTGTCGGATAACTGTCAACTTGATGCAAACTTCGGATATACTGCAATGCAATTATTTTCAATGTACAAAAATTCTTATAACCTAAATTGACAATTCATAAAAAGGTTTATTTTACGGTCATGGAAGGTATCAAATGACAATTTGGTACTTCACTGCTCAAATTCTTATAAGGCTACGAATCTGTAGATATATTTTTTATCAGCTCAGCCTTCTTCATTTGTCCTATTATTCAAGGAAAAAGTTACAAATTATCCATAGAATTACAAGTTAAATAAAAATGATAACAGATCAATTACAATGTTGCAAAAAATAATTGCATTTCCTCTTAAAGCTAGTAATTTACTATATTAAATTGTCATTTTAAACAGTGAGAAAAAGATGGATATCATATATCTATGCTATTATGTCTGTGCTAATAAATAGTACATGTTGTACAATGAATTGCACACATCTTTCGGAATAATGCTTCATACAAGATCTTAATATTAAAAACACATTTTTTGCTTTGTATTTTAGACATGCGTTTGCTAAATATATACGTAAAGGCAAACTTTCTGAATTATTCGGTCACCTCTTTCGACAGCGACGCATTGACTTACAGTGAAATTCATGTCAGCCTTTCGGTTCAAAAAGGAAACGATAACATCAGCAGATCTAAAATGTAATATTTCAAAAAATTCTTTACAAAAAATAGACTCCCGTAATTCCAGTGATCCGTTCAGTAAAAGAAAGCAAATAATTAGCAAACCAGGAATAAGAATAATGAAATCAGTATCAGGGACGAAGCACCAGGAATAAGAATAATGAAATCAGTATCAAGGACGAAGTATTTTTACTTCGTCACAGATACTAATTTCATTATCTCTCAAAAGTTCTGTCTTCCTTAAAAACATAACAGTATGAAATAAGCCAGTCCAACATTTTGAATATGTAATTTCAAATCACACAACAATTACTGCTAATTGCAGAATAGTTTACAATCACTTGTCTATTAGAGTAAAAGATATCAATATACGGTTCATTAAAATACTTACAAATTTGCTCTCTCATTAGCATACATATTCGATAAATTCGGCAAATTTAATTCACTTTTGTTTACTACAACGACGTGTGCTTCGCTTGTGGCTGCGTTGAATACTGCCATGACAGATCGACTGTCCTGCTGATGCTCATAAAAGAACAAAGTACGAACGCTGTTTTCCGGAAGATATTGCACCGAGAAATCCTGAATTTTAGCAATTGTATTTCAGATTTAGAGTTGTTAAGAGACAGAACTTTTATTAAGGATATTATTCAAAATGAATGTTTTTAACAAAGTTCAATCATCAATACTAACCGGTTCAAGCTGTTCAAAATCATATGTGGTAGCTGGATTTGTTTGAAAATTCGGTTTTAATCGACAGCTACAGCCCAAGGTAAGTAAGGCTCGAAAGAGCAATGGTACCTGTGACTCATATACACCTTCAATTCTCATCGCACATAACTCTTTGTTTAACTGACTGCAAATATTATTACTGTCAATGTTTTTGATAATATTTATTAAAAAAAAATCCGAATGAAATTCAAAAACTTCATTAAGCTCTCTTCAACTCCAGCATATTTAAGTTTAATTCTTCATTGAATTTTTTAAAATTCAAGTAGATTATGTTGAAAAATTACACTGCAAAAAGTATGTATTACTTTAAACTCGATTCAAATATCCTTTCATCGATAACATATCGCCGCAAATTAAAAACTGGCTTTGAGCGTGGAAGAATACGTTTCACTAGTGTGCCAGAATTTCCGTTTTCTTCACGATTATTCACATAAATGATACGCGGCATTCGCAAATTGATTTTCACCATTTTATCAAGAATTATACACCATAATATTAACATACCGTTGCTTGAAGTTTCTGATACCTGCAATCATATGTACATTAATTTGCAATATGCTTTTTAATATTCCATCAGTTTTACTAACTACTACTTTATTAATAGCAATATTAAATTATATAAATTTCATTTCTTGTTTCTGCATTTTATGGTATATATTTGCAAGAAGCGAAAGTTTCTTCTTTTCTGCCCACATTAACGGATAAGCGAAGTAAAGTGAAGTGAACAAAAATATGTAAATAGATGAGCTTTATTGCATAATCGCAAAGACTTTGAAATCCATATAATTGTTTGAACGTGCGTTTCTTCATACATATGTAGAATATATCTTGCAATTTCTCGCTATAAACAATTGCAAACATTTAACCTTAACAATTTGCCATACTGTATCTCGCATCATCTGTTTACCACGTTCAAGCATTGACATAATTGGCGTAATTCCTTTAGATAATGCACTTTGTTTTCTACGGTTTTTCTCTTCTCTTTCTTTTCGCCATTTCGCCTTTAAATATCTACAAATTTTCAAAGTGCTAAAGATCATTATGTTAATATTAAAGTTGGATTGATGACTTTTTCTCCACATCAGATTGTTTTTTTTTTTTCAATTATGATCAATATTTGACAACAGCAATCCACCTATCTCCTTCCAACAAATTTGTTAATATCACCATTTGAATTTCGAAAAATTCTATAATTCCATCATTTTTCATTAAGCCGAAAAAATTTTATTTAAGCTTACTTAAATCAAATATAAAAGAAAATGACAGTACCGTAACCATTCTTCAACTCCGTCTTCAACGATTGTTTTTTTTTGTATTACTGTCCATCGATCGGTCTTTTGAGTTGGTGTTGAATCCTGTAATTGCTTCACAGTAGTATTTAAAATATTGCGTATGATTGCTTTCATTACAGAAGACCTCGGAAACTAATTAATTTAATAAATCAATATTAATGAACATTAATGAATTCTCTTTTAATCTGAAGATCGAATTACATTACCTTCTCCACATTTGGGGAGTTATTAGGAAGAATAACATTGTCCAATGAGCTGTTATTAGTAACTCTTGAACTGCCAACATTCTCAATATCGGGTGGAAAAGTCGGTGTAACAGTTTTTTTGAAAATTTCATTGATTTTCGGCTGTTTATGATCATTTTTTCGTTGTTGTCGCTTGTTCTCCAACCAATCCGGAAAAGGAACACGCGGAACTGGATTTGGAACGTTTTGCAGGGCAGCTGGGATTATGATAATTTTTTGGATAGTGGCTCCAAAGCGTTCAATATAATATTCCCAGTCAATAATCTGCAAATTAGAAAGTTCTTTATCCATATTCTAAACTCGTTGCCAAATTTTTATTTAAAACAGTAATTCTGCATCGGCTATCAGAGAGTTTTTTGAAACTCAAACTTCAAGAATGAGAATAATAAAGAAACCTAAATCAATACCAACATTTCGAATATTGATATTATCTTTGGTAATTGTTGTATCTTTTGTCCATTTTCGAAGATAATGAGCACAAACATTTGGTGCTGCTTGGAATATAGCCAAAGGTATAGCTCTTTGTGCGATAGGTGCATCAAGTGGCATCTTTGAAATGATAAAACGGCAAGCAAGCCCAACGTCTTTAACCATGTCATCACCGAGAAACTGCAAAAACCGTTTACAGCAAGTAAGAAAGTTAATGACAGAATCTTTTTTATTCGACCTCTTTTCTCGAGTAATGTAATGAGGATACAGTTTCATGAAGACGTAAAAATAATATGATTCAAAGTGAAAGCAGAGACTTATGTTTTCCTCTTGATTTTCAATAAATTAATGGAGATTACAAAAAAGATAATCACTTCTGCAAGACGTTTCGCTGTTGAAATAGATGTTGACTTTTGTTCACCATAATCATCAAGTTTTTTTGACATACTCCTATTTTCGGCAATTAAATCAAATAATTCATAATCTGGAAGATTAATGCCCTGAAAATTTCGAAAAAATTCGAACGTAAGAAATGAAACCCATAAATTTTAGATCAATAAAAGTAATTTCGATTATAAATTATGTTATATTTGTTACTACAGCCTTACAGATATATTACATTAAAAAAGGTGGTGCACAGATTACGAATCAATGCGGTATTTTAAATAAGCAACGAGAAGAACAGACATGAATTACGCATGAATATATTTTCGTAACAACATGAATTACGAAAACATATTCATGCTGTTACTGATGAAAGTCAGATACATTTGCTCATCAACTTTTTAAGAAAGCATAAAATCCTAATTTTTACAAATTTATTAGTCTTATCTATAGATTATTGTGACAAATTCTTCATTACACATAAGTTACTTACTTTCGAGAATAATACATCCAGCCAGTAGTTGGCTTCTTTCGCAGCATGCTCATACGCTTCTGCATGATTTTTGCCCTTTAGAAAAGCTTTGAAAACCGTACTTTGGAAATACTTGATCAATGCTAACTCACCACGCCGTTTTACTTCAAAGCCTTTCAGTTCAGCAAGTGAACCATCAAAATTAAAAACTGCATATCTGGAAATTTGAACATTCAGTTTCATTCAGACAAATGAAAGAATAGGGAACTTTGAAATTCTGCAGACCTTTTTTTTAGCCTTTTGCCTTCCTCCCTAGAAGCTGGAAGAATCATCGCCAAGTATGGTCCATCAACTTCGAAAAATATGGAATTTTCGGAAGTTATAGAATATGTTCCATCCGGCTCAAGTTGATGAAATTGGTCGTTCGTAAATTTATCATAAATTAGCGCATTTAGAATTGCACCAGGATATGAAATAGTTACCTGTATATTAAAATAATGAAAAGAACTTTCAAAATGCATTAAAGTTTAATAATCCACAAAAAAAAATGTTAACAATACCGTTTTACGCTTAGAATTGTCCAAGGTGAAAGTAATATTCTCCGGAAAAGTTCCTGGAATCAAGCACCATATTCCATCTGTATCAAGTTCCAAAGGTTTCCCAATACGTTCTACAAGCTTCCGTGCTTCAGTGATAATATTTGCCCCAGTATGACAAACTATACCAGCCATTTCCATTGAAAACCATCTTGCACCTGAATAAATCAAATATATTCATGATTTTCGGAATATTGGAGAGTTCCTTATTTTCTCCAAATATTTTTAATTGAAACCTTTCCGCATGACATATCCATAAAATGAATTTAAGATGCATTTGTGTGCAAGTTGCAAACTTTCGTAGAGAACAACTCGTCCCTGGGCTGTTTTTAAAGCATGAATATCATCTTCCGATATCTCGTCTAGAACAGCTTTAGCTTTCTGAAACACATTTTTAAAAGAGTGCAAAATGAAGTATGAACCTCATTCCTGAGTAGATCATACAATACAAAGCTAATAATCAACTAAATGTGGCAGTGATATTAAGAAATTCAAAAAATAATAAAATAATATTAACAAATTTTAATCGCTAACAAGTAATATGAAGATTTGAAGTAAAGATAATAAATAAGGACCAAGTTTATACTTGCTTTAAGCATTGCTTTATATTCATATCGTCTGTCTCGGAAAGCTTTTACAGTATCTACATAAAATGCATTTTCTCGTTCACAAATCGTCGTATATCGATATTCATTCTTTGTGATATGAGTTTTGCCGTAAGCCCGTTTACAAAAATCTAAAGTAGACAATCTGAACAAGTTTGCAGAAAAATCTAATTTGGAAATACAAAAATGTTTTATGATTTATTTCATGTACGTGTACGTAAGATAAATGCACGTACGATAACTGATAATTCAAAAAAGAAGTTGAGAAAGTTTTAATTAAGATTTTAACTTTATTAAAATTATGCCAGCAATTACCAAAAAATCAACCATAATATGAACAGGGTTTCCATTTGTAAATTTCCAAAAAACATTTCAATTCATGACAGGTAAAATTCACCTTTCACCCGTTTCACTTCAATCTGAATTCTTTGCTCTTGATCTAAGTTATGGAATGCTCTGGGTGGTTTTCCAAATGTTTCATTTTCAAGTTGTTGCAGAATGCGTTCATATTCGCCTTTTGAGGCAGGCACTGAAAAATTGATCATACTATATAAAACCCAACTTTTTATAAAGTAATCAGTCAATAAATTTGAAAGAACTGCGACGTACCACAGTTGCAAGTAACACAAACAACTATAGTATTTATAGCTGTAAATGCAATATAACAAACTTACTGATTTCACCGCGCCATTCCCACTGCATCGTTCTGCGGCATTTCGCATCCGGTGAATTGTATACACAAGCAATGCAATCTTCATTTGTAACAACTGCTGATGGCTACAAAATTAAAAGAATCTGGAGTCATTTCAAAAATTTCAATTTCTTAAAAATTAAATCTAAAATCTTGCTGGAACTTCGTATATATAACATTTATCAAATTGAAGCACAAATTAAAAAAGAAGCTAACAGCAGCCAACAGATAATTTCGATGTCTACCTATAGCACAATTTCAAGCTGATGTCGGTATGGAAAAATAAAAACAAGTTACGGCAGAAATTGTATAAAATGAAGAAACAAACTTGAAGACGATTGGTAAGTATAATATTAGGATACATTGCACCCACATCCAAATGGTAAATTTTCGGAATTTCAAGACGTAGAGGCCTTTTAATAAAGTCATCAAGCTGCGTTTCAATCTGAAACTTAATACATAATATTAAAGAAAATCTATTTAGTTTCAGTCCGAATACATAATATTAAAAAAAATCTATTTAGTTTAAATCAGAACTTATTAATCGCAAATATTTATTTATAATTACAATTTGAACGATTGGACAAAAGCCTGTGAAACAATCCTGATTAATAAAATAAGGCAAAATAAAATAGTCATATCCCTATATAAATACTATCATGCTGTAACTTTTGTGTATCAAATCCGAATTATCTAATACACTTCTGTGTCAGCAAAACTCCATGTCTAAAATGTTCATTAATATTGAAATAAATGAACTTGCACACCTTACTTGCAACAGTATTGAAATCAACGACTTCATTCATATTAACACCAAGCTCACGAGTCAATGAATCACTTAACGTTTTTCTAACATCTCGTTTTAAATCCAGGATTGTAGCCGGCACGATTCGAAATCTGTAAAATGCCTGTTTGACTATGTGAGAAACTTAAAGCTTAAGAAAGTAGAAGTTTAAATCTAGGATTGTAGCCGGCACGATTCGAAATCTGTAAAAAAAACCGAACTTTTCCGGAATATCGGCACGGAAAACACCGGATTCCAAAGCTTCAACATGGCCTCCAACATATGTTTCACTTTCAATCACATGTCCATCACCAGTATACTTTGTTCCATAGTGCAAGGATTTATTCGGAAATATGATATTGTTATGAAATGCTTTAACCATCAAAAGTGCTTCACACAATGTGCCAGAACCTTTACGAAGTACCTAAAATAGAATTTTGGGAAAAGGTTCTTGGTTAAAAAGGAATTAAAGTCTAGAAAAGAATAAGAAAAGAACTAAGGAACGCATAATTTTTCCTTTAACTTTCAAGAAAATGAAATAAAACTAAAGACAAATATAATTTTCGAAAGTCAGATAAAAAAAACTTACATCATCAGGACCCAAAGGTATAATTGTACATAGTGCAAAGATAAATGGATGGACATATTTAATGTATAAATAATAGGTTGCTACTGCATCAGATACTGAATAATTTGCCAGTGTCTAAAATCTTGAAAATTTTGATAAACGTAGATAAAATAGTTGAAGCATTAAACCCTGAACTCAGAAATTCAATTTGATTTTGCTTTTGATTAAAACAAATAAATTTGAAGCTGAAGCGTCAAATTAAACCGCACTTGAGGTTCATTTTTGGCCATTGCACACATCTGTTCAGGATCAAGCTCAACTGGGTCATATCGAAGCTTAGCTTTTGTACAGGCTTTCAGATTCTGACTTCCCACTGGAAGATAACTATCACGCTTCACCCATCTAAATTAGTGCATCAGTGAAATGGATATGTAAACTTGACAATCTGTGTTCTGTTTTAATATATTTGGTTCTATAATTCTAAAATAAAGTCAATGTAAAAAAAAGCAAAAAAAATGGCAGTTTTTGAATATCTCAGCTGCATTTTGTAAATAAATTGGAACTATCATTGCTTGAAAAATTACTTCAAGTGAAGATCAATGAAGGCATTTTCACTTACTTAAATGCATCAAGATGGACTGCGTTTGTAGTTCTGTATTCACCAGAAGAATTTTTAGAAACACCAATTTTAGATGGCATATTTAAACCATATACTGCTGCACGAGCCTCCACGAAAGGCCTGCAATCTGATTACTGGATTGAATATGGATGTGGATTAGGAATGGCCAATTCGTCAAATAAACTAACCAATCGAATGCATCACCGTTGTAAGTAACGAACACAGATGGACGCAGTCGAATTATGTGGTCAAAAAAATATTCGATAACGGCTCTTTCGTCAGGCAAATTGATCACCCGAAATATTCCCTAAAGATTTTTGAAAATTAAGACATGTCAAAGCCGAATCATCAAGGGAATATTGAGTTACTGATCTAAAAATTTCTAATTTGAACAAATAAGTTCATCAAACAAGATTAGCTGCATTTACACTTTCTATTATGTAAAAAAGAGAGTATTTTAAAATTTTTTAAGAAAAACAACATTACTACACAAAGATCAATGTAATATGCCTTATTTCATCAGCCTTATTTTATGCTTTATTTTATGCTCTTATTTTATGCCTTATGTCTTATTTTTTGCAAATCTGATCAATTTCAAACGAGGATTACCTTGTACTCCGGCTTTGGAGTGTACTCAAAATTATCCACATCGGTGGAAATAATTTGCCTATTAATAATTAAGAAACCATTTCCATTGACCATATATGAAATCATCATTATTTCGTCAATAGCACTATCCGGAAATTTCAAAGGCAACTTTGTAACTTCAATGTCATAAGCTAAAATAATTGGTTCTGGTGGATCGATTAGCGTTGGATGACGAGTTATTTTTGGTTTCCGATCGAAATCTCGTCCTGTTACACGGTACCACAGACCTACGAATATTTCCAGATCAATGCACACCCTCATTTGATAAGGCAAATCATGTTCCCTGAAATTTTAAGCTCGGTAGTGTTGAAAATTGCTAAAGTTCTAATCATTAAAAATAATTCGTAAATTTCGCAATCCACATATCGTCTGAATCACGAAAACTACAAAAATAAAGTTAAAGCTAGAATTTGACCATGTTAAATTTCTTATCTTTGTGAATAACCGAATTGGATAAACAAATATTGACTTTTCGGATTGATGATGAGCGGTAAAAAAAATAGATGGTTTTGCGAGAAACTTCTGATGATTATTTAAGATTACACACAATTAAACTCAAATTCAATATCTTTACATTCGTTCTAATTTGGAATTGTGTCGCATCCAAGGTAAGCTGATATAAAATTTCAACTGCTTAGCACATGTAGATTTGTTTTTAGCAATACTATCAAAGAAGATCAGTCGATCAGTAACTGACAAATAATAAGTCAATGGGAATAACGCTTCATTTCTCACTGCATAGTCAAATCTGATCTTTTGAGATGAAATAAATCTTGAAAAAAAAACCTCAAATCAATAATTTTTTCTAAAACACTGCCTTCGTCGAACGGTGCTTCCCGTGAACCAAGATGTCTAAAAATTATTCAAATTCATATTACGTCGATACTTCGAAAACAAATTGTAAACACTTTTATGAACCAAACAAGACGACTTTTGCTAAAAAACACGAAACATATAAACCTGGTAAGAAGATTAGTATATGAAGTTGTTTGCTTTTCTCTTTCCTGATTTCTCTTTAGTATTGGCATGATATCTTTCTTGAACTTCAGAAGTTCGCTTAAACTTGGGAATGAAATCTTTAAATATGTTCGTTTTAATCCTGAGAGATGATTTTTCTGCAAGAAAAGTTAAAATATTCTCAAGAACACTAACCTACATCTGATAATTGACGAAAAAACGTATCTTCAAATCAATGAGTGAACCTACTAAATCAAGGTCTTCTTTTTCCACAATCTCGGTGGTAATTACGCCAACATATTTCTTTGATAAATATGATAAAACCTGGCATTCAAATGAAGGAATCGTAGCGATATAGAGGTATGGACGAAATGGATATGATACCTAAATGAAAGAGTTATTCATGATGTCAAATCATTTTCCTACTTCAGAAATATTAAAGTGAAAGATAACGCTTTTTTCTTTCATATCAGCATCAAAGTATGTTAACTTTACAACCTTAAAACGTCCACCATCTTCCTGAAGAAAATAAAAGTCGCATACTGCAATGATACTTTTCGTTTCCTCATCAATCATCTCTGCCTGCAATGTCCAATCAA